GAAGAACTGGGGAAAACTAGCTTTCAGAGAATAAATATAGCCACTAACCAAAATATAAACATTACTGAATAACTATAGGTTAGTCATCATAATATCATAAGAGTAGAAACTATCTATAGAGCTGAAGAAAGAATAGAAAGTTAAGTAATTTGGTAAAAGTCCAGTAAATGTTTCACATTATTCTAGATCCATGTTTCTTTTTCTTAAGTTTGTATTAATGTTATACTGTACTTTGTGTATAATTATAGTAACAATATAAATGCCACATGTGACACAGGATAATTAATCACAGTTATTTCTACAATTTGTATTTGAGAAGGATCCTTGAAATTTCAATTTGATTTTGAGTTTTAAAGTCTACAGAATCAGACCAATTTTCATTGACATCTTAGTATCTTTTAATAGGTCCCTTTTGAAAACTGAATCTCCCTAGTAAAATTTCAGCAAGAATGAATTTGCCATATAGAATTAGTATCAGTTAATGTTATAGATATGCTATAGTTTTAGCTATGATAGAGTAGTATTGGCAAGAACCACTGATATCCGCTAGAAAATGATAATCTTATTAATTTGGCCAAATTTGTAATAGCTAATCATTTTTTTCTTGTAGTTTTATAAACATATCAATCTCTTTTAATTGAATACCCAGGAAAGTTCAACCAGGTTTATCTCGTAAAAAAGCAGCCAAAAAAAAAAAAATCAGTAATAATGAAACTTTGAAAACAGACTCAAGCATAGCATCAAAAACAGCTGCTGGGGCTGAGGGTGTACAGTGGTAGAGGGTGTACAGTGGCCTAGCAATGTGCAAGGCCCTCAGTTCCAACCCAAGAACTCCAAAAAGGAGGAGGGGAAAAAAAAACAAAGCAAAACTGAGCTGAGGTTAAATTACACAAATGCGGCCTCACTTTTACTCTGTCTTCTTACAGAGACAATATCAGTGGTGAGAGCACGAACTGTGGGCGTCTACTGCCTGGGCTGCAGGAGTTTCAGTTTCCCTTCAGATACACGACGTCCCTGCCTCGCCTTAACAGAAACTGAACCAAAAACCACAGCACTAAATGAGGTGTTTGGAAACTACCCTGTTTATACTTTGTTTGTATAAAAATTTCCATTTATCATTTGAGTTTGAAGACAGGACTCAGTTGGGTGTGTATGTGCATGTGTGTATAAAAGCAACAGAGAAATGCCATATATAAAAGACAGGACACCTTAGGATTCTACTGTTAGGTGATCCTTAGGTGTCATTTAGTGCTGATGTTTTCACCTTGTGAAAAAAGCAGCCAGAATCCAAAAACTTGCGGTGAACTCAGTGACAAAGGGCTAGGTCTCAGGCCCAGAGCTTATACCAGTATTCTTTTTCATAATGAAGTTCCAGTGGCCTTGTTTATTTATGCCTTCATTTATTTTTGTTCAAAAAACATTTAAGATAAAGCTAACAAAATGCACATTCTAGGACAACAGCAAATATTTTGTTGTTTCAGGGCCACGTACTCCCCTTTTGTCTGTCTTTTGTTCTGATAACACACCCTGACCACATTTTGGGGAATAACAGCACCTTCACAGAATAGCTTGGTGGGGTGACCTCTCAAAATGACCACCCTGCCTCTAGCAAGGACTGGCCTCTGAATCCCCAACAGGTGAACAGGCTTTTCTCCTGCAGGCCACTGAAGTGTGAGTGGCTTGTCGCACAGACTGAAAAATGATACCAAGACAGTTGATAACTCTTGCTGCCTGCATCACCAGGGCTGAGCTGGTCATTTCAGCAGACCTGTCTGACACTTTTGCTGTCCAGCCACTTGGGGCGCTGCTCCATAACTTGCCAGTAGAGTGTCTTGGAGATTAAGTTAGCCAGATCTATTCTGTAACAACATACACACCACTAACTGATAAACACAATAATAATATCTGAGAAGAAAAAAATCAGAGCACAAAGAAAGTAGGAGTCTTAGAAACATAAAAGAAAATCAGCGTGGTGAAGCTATCTTTCATGGAGTATTTACTATATATGACAGTCATAGCTCCAGATGCTTGGGGTAGCTTTACTCAATAAATCTTAGTAAAGAAACATTAGGAAGAGAGATACTTTAGTGATCCCCACTTCCCAGAAAGTACTCCAGAATGTGCTCCAGGTGACATCAACTATGTGGTACAATCAGGATCACAGTCAGGCAAGCTGAGCTGAGGGGCACATTCTTGATGTTGCCTCCATATATGAAAGGTGACAACCAAGGATGCATGTTGTGAAGACCAGTGCACTTCCTAGAAATAAACAGCAACATTCATGCTCTCATAGCAAAAAAAAAAAAAAAAA